ACGCGAGCTCTCCTGTGCGAGAGGGCTGCATAAGGAGATGCCAGGTCTTATTCACCATACAGCGTGCGGGCGACGCAGAGACATACCGAGATGGAGGGAGATGAGGAAGACGGGAGATGCAGGGTCGGTGAAGGGCCCCCCTGACCCTCCCGCAGCTGCGCCAGCGCGCTGGACACTCACCTCCTCCTTCTCATCCTTCTCTTTTTCCTAGGGAAGGGGGGCAGGGACCGGAGTGGGGGGCAGAGGGGAGGGGGGGAGAGGGGGGAGGACAAGCTAGGTGCGCTCGCGTCATATCTGACGTCCTACCCTTCCCTCCCATCCCTTACCATGGCGCTGATTTTCTCTATCCGCGGACGCGTGTCGCAGCGGACCTGTGGCTCCGCGCGCGCGTGCGTAGTGGGTGGTGGTGCGCGTGCGTGCGTGCGTGCGTGCGTGTGTGCGTGGTCGTGGTGGTGCTGGTGCTGGTGCTGGTGCTGGTGCTGGTGCTGGTGCTGGTGCTGGTGCTGGTGCTGGTGCTGCTGGTGCTGGTGCTGGTGCTGGTGCTGGTGCTGGTGCTGGTGCTGGTGCTGGTGGTGGTGGTGGTGGTGGTGGTGGTGGTGGTGGTGGCGGTGGTGCGGCGCGGTGGTGGCGGGCGGTTGGGCGCGCGAGAAAGAGGCCCGCGCTGGGGCGAGAACGCCATCCTCAACGACGGAGGCCAAACACCGATCCGAAAATGAGGCCCACGCTGCAGCGGGAGCACGATTCGGAACGATTCGGGAGCAGAGATGAGGCCGGCGCCTCAACGAGAGCAGCATTTTGGGAAAAAATGACGCCGGCGCCTCAGCGAGAGTCGTTTCCCGGGATTTTCCGGGCATCCTGTGTGTAAAAAAAAGTACGCGGAGGGGTGCCGAATATCTTCCGGACGCTTCAGGGGAAGTGGCGAGAGTATTTTTCATATTGTGTAAGTTGGTGGGTGAGGTTGGGTGAGGAGGATCGAAGGAGGGGGGGAGGGGAGGGGGGGAGGGAAGGGAGGGGGGGGAGGGGCATGAGGTACAGGAGAGGAGGAGGAGTCGAGGAGGAGGAGGAGAGAGGAAGGAGGAGAAGGGAGGAAAGCAGGGATGGTAGGAGGGAGGAGGATAGGAGTAGGAGGAAGGAGGAGGAAGGAGGTATCGGGGAGCGAGGAAGGAGTGAGGAGGAGGAGGAGGAGGGGAAAGACAGCATGCAGAGGTCCTTGATACGAACCGTCACGTCCTGGCGCGCCCTGACGTGCGACCGGCGGTTCTGCCCGCCGAAGTGCCTCCGGTGCCTTCTCGGAGGGTTCTCGGCCGCGGCCTTTGGCGCGGCCCCGCTCCTCGATCTCGGATCACCGTCACCCTCGTCGGCCTTCTTCCTCTGCTGCTGCCCCATCCTCCTCCTCCTCCTCCTCCTCCTCTTCTGCCCCTCCTCCTCCTCGTCCTCCTCGTCCTGCTCCTCCTCTTCTTCTTCCTCCTCCTCCTCCTCCTCCTCCTCTTGCCCCCTCTGCTCATTCTTCTCCTCCTCCTCCTCCTCTTCTTCATGCCCCTTCTTCAGGAAGAAACCTCCTTGATTTTAGCAAAGCAATAGACTTCACCAGCGAGGAGTTGTTGGTTGTTGCGCTGCTTTAACTTCCTGTGCTGATTGATGTGTCGCCCCCGCGTGGTTTCGGGCCTCGTTTCCTGGTGGGTCGGCCCCTCCGCTCGTGGTCCTTCCATGGCACTTGCTTCGCCTCGTCCTGTGGGCCCTTCGTCGGTCCCGTTTCCGTCGTCTCTTGCGGCTGTAATTGCCTGGGTAGCGCTTCACTCTAGCCAACGCCCAAAAAACAAATTATCAGGAAGAATACGGGTGAGGAGAGAGAGAGAGAGAGAGAGATGGAGGACGAGGGGGGGGAGAAGGATGGTCAATGGGTAGGGGACATTAGGTCTCAGTGTGTTGGAAATGAAGCCGTTCCAGGAGATTATGGTGGGCTTCATTGGGGTTCTGGAGGCGTCCCCTCCTCGCTCCCACACGCCCTCCTCCTCCACCTCCTCCTCCTCCTCCTCCTCCTCCTTCTCCTCCTCTTCTTCCTTCCTCTCTCCTCCCTTTTCCTTTCTCCACCTTCCCACCTCTTACTCCTCGCTCCTCCTCTCCTTCTTACTCCTTCCCTTTTTTTCCCCCTCTTCCTGATGACCCTCCTCTTTTTTGCCCTCGTGCCAAAGCTTTTCGCCCAATGGCACCGAGGAGGGGGCCGCCCTGCGCAGGATGCCGTCGAGCGAACGCACCATCGCAGAGGGCCGCCGCGCTGAGCCATCAGAGAAAAAAGCCCTGGGACTTCGAACACCTGCGGATGTCGAACGGCTTGAAGGTTGGGTGCAGACGGCCGCAGATGTAGCCCCAGCTGTCGAGTGATGCCAAAGGTGCCCCTGGGCCGAACAGGGCCCTGGAGGCTGGGTGTTCTGTGACGGGGGAGGCAGTGAACGGGGGGGGGGTGAAGACGCGTGCGCCTGTCGTGCACGCACACCCAGAGCCCGCGGTGGCATTTCAGATGCCACCTTAGGTCACTTCCCTGCAGCCCTCGACCCCCCCCCCGTGCTCGTTGCTGGATTGCCCCCCGCGGCCCGACGACGGCCCCAGAGGCCGGCCCCGTTGCCGTCCGCCCGAGAAGGCCGAACAAACGGAGGCGCCTTCCCGCATGCGGAATGAGCCTTTCCCGGCCGCTGACGAAATAACCTCGAACGGCTGAGCCAAACAATGAAACGGGGAAGCCGAGGACCTGCGTGAGAGGCCCCCTGGTGACCGCCCGGCTGCCGCGGGTGGCGGCCACGGCGGCCTTGACACGCTGCGCTCTGCACGGCGCGCGCCACCGTGCACCCTGCAGGATGGATTCGGCAGGGGGGGAGGGAGGGAGGGAGGGGGGGAGGGAGGGAGGAGCAGGGGCAGAGGAGCAGGAGGAAGCAACAAAATCGCCACGTCGGAGCTGGACGCTAGATCGTGCCCAAGTCCAGCGCCGCTTCCCTGACCGTGGCGGCCTCCTCCTCGGACTTCCGAGGCGCGGCGGGGGAATGGCCAGCGGCTTGTCCGCCTGCGGCGCCGCGCTCTCATGAGGCGGACCCGTCGATGGCTGGGGTCTGGCTGCGCTAGCCCGCCTCCTCCGAGCCACCTCCTGGCCGTGCTCTGAGGGGGTTGCTCCGCCAACCCCTCAACGGCGATGGCTAGCAGGAGGAGAAGACCAACCACTCCAGGGCGATGGTATCTCCAGAGTGCGAAGAAGAAAATAATAATAGTGATACTAAGAGGAATCAGAAGAAGAAGAAGAGAGACCTCTTCGAGCACTCCCCCAAAAAATGCGAAGAAGACTGCGCCACTGCCTCCTCGAGCTCCACCGTGCCGTCGACTGGCGAGGCGGGGATGTCGCTCACCGACACCCTGCGCGGGCTGGGATTGCCCGCGTCGCCGCCGTCGCTGACGCCGACGGCCCTCACTGGCGTCCCGGCGGAGCTGTCGTCCGCGCCGGCGGCGGCGGCGCGCTTCGGGGACGTCCTCACTCGGTGTGTCCTGACTCCGCCTCCTCTCGTCGTCAGAACAGCATCTTGAGACCCCGACTGCTGCCTACTCGCTGGATTATCTCGTGCGGTCGTCGCCCGGTGCCAGCCGCATACTTGGGCAGGGCTCCGTGGCACAGTTCCACGCTTGCTTGCAGGAACCTGGCTGGTCGTGCGCTCGCTGGGGCCGCTGCCCTCGGTGGCCCCGGGCGGCGCGTCGGCGCGGGAGCGCCGTGGGGAACTCGGCGGCCGTCCGCCAGGTGCTCGCCGCGGGCGGGCGGCAGAGTGGCGCCCGCCGCAGGCTGCGCGGTCGGCGCGCCGCGCGCCGCCGAGGCGCCAGGCGCCTAGCCTGGCCACGCACCGCGGCGGCGGGGAGAACGCCGCGAAGCCGCTCCCTGGGCCCACTGGCTTGTCAGGTGGTCCCAGCTGATGTCCTGCCTGCCTTGGCAGGGCCGGGGCGCCCACGGCGTCGAGGCCAGAGGCGGCTGGCTCCGCGTGCGGGGCGAGCGCAGCGAACCGCTCGAGGCGATGGCAGAATGCGGCGGGGCGTCTCCAGCGGCTGCTGCGGCTCCGGCCTGGGCGGCGGCCCCAGGTGCGGGAGCACCGATGCCGCCATCACGGCCGCAGTGGCGGCCCTTGCCACTGCGGCCGTAGGCACGGCGGCTGGCGCCCCCAGCCGGTCGTGCCTGGCGGCCCTGGCCTCGGGCGGGCTGTGGCGGCTCGACGTGTGGAGCCCGGGCTTCGACGCCGCGTGCAGGAACCCGCCGACCAGGACGGACCCGCCCGCCGCAGCTCCCAGCATGGGCCGTTGCAGGGGAGAGGCGGGGGCCAGCAGCTGCCGCAAGCGGCGCCCACGGCGGCTGCGGGGCTGGCGGCAGGCATGCGACTCTCTGGTCCCCTCGGGGCGCCTCCGCGAGGGCCGGCTTGGAGCGCTGCACCGACGGCGACAGCGGCCTGGACGGGGAAGCCCGCCGCCAGCCCGAACATCTCGCAGCCGGCCCGCCGTCCGCCGCATGGAGGCGAGGCTGGGCGCGGGCCGCGTCTGCCGCGGCGGCGACCGCGGCGTCGCGACGCACGCCGAGCTGGCGCCCAGCGGCGGCCGCGTGGGAACTGGGCAGGACGCACGCCGAGCAACCGGGCGGGACCGCGTGGGTGCCGGGCACGACGCAGACCGAACCGCCGCCGCCGCGGCGGCTGCGTGAGCTGGCGCCGAAGTCCCCGGGGCAACGGCTGCTGGGCGGTGCAGGTCGGCCGCTGGCAGGGAGGTGCGCTCCTCCCGATGGGCGCCCTCCATGCCAGCCGCCGCGCCCACGGCCGGGCCTTCCCCCCCCCGCCGCGCGGCCAGGCCGCGCCGCCGGCGCCCCTGGCCAAGCCGCGCCCCCCGCGGGCTGAGGCTCGGGCCAAGTCGGCTACGGACCTGAATCATCAACCTGCCCGCAGTCCGGCCCCAGAGACCCGCTCCCGCCATCGCTCCTGCCCCGGCGCCTCTGGGGCCGCGGGCGCCCACTGCGGAGTGGCGTAGGCACCCTCTCCGGCGGCGTGCTCGCGGAAGAGGGCCCGCAGCTCGGGCTCGAAGGCTCGGAGCACGTCCTGGACGTCCTGCGAGGGCAGATGGGGGACGAGGGGGGGGAACGTCTAAGCATCGGCACTCCAGGGTCCACTTCGATCCGACCGATCCCACTCTGTCTCGATTCCAGCCCGCCCGATCTGATCCGATTCCGACTTTCCGACGATCCGATCCGACGCTGCTGTGCATCCTGGCGCGGTCGATGCGATTCGATTTTGCCTGCGTGCCGATGCATCCATGGAAGGGGGCGGGGGGGGGAAGGTCCAAGGAGGGGACGGGGAAGGCGGAGGGGGGCAGGAGGGGGCGGCGCCCAAACATGGAGGCGACGAGGGGGAGGAAGAGGGGGTGGGGAAGAGCCGGAGGAGCTGGAGCGGGAGCAAGGTGGGGCGAGGGACGAGGGCAAGAGCGGGCAGAGGGGGGGCGAATGCCGCAGACTAGGGAACGGACGAGGAGGAGGATCAGGAGGGGGAGGAGCAATACGATTACGAAAGGAGATGCGTCAAGTCGAATTAGGGGTGAGCATGGTGGTGGTGGTGGTGGTGGTGGTGGTTGTGATAGCAATCATCATTGAATCTTGTACGATGCTTCACATTATGACTATGATTCGGATGATGATGGTGATGATGACGGTGGTTTCGCGAGGAGGAATGGGGGAAGTCCCCTGTCAACTCTACCAGCTCGAGGCAGCACGCGCCCGCCCGCTCATGGCGGAAGAAGGACGTCAAAGTGGTAGTTCGTGTTGCGACGGTCGGCGCAAGAGCCGCTGTCGTCAAGGGAACTGCCGTTGTCGCTGGGATCTGGCTCAGGCTGCAGCCTGTCGTTGCCCTGGCATCGTGCTCGCGTCAGGGCTGGCGGGAGCCACGCGGTGGAGGGTGCGGATAGGCAACGCCGTTGCCCATGAAAACCTTCGCGGACCGAGCGTCACCGCTCGTTCCCGTGTCCTCCCTTTCGACCGCGCCGCCATGCCCAGCGCCGGGGCCGTGGTGGTCACCTCGTGGAGCGGGGCGGTCAGCACGAAGAGGATCATTCCCTCGAAGTTCGGCGCCGCGATTGCAAAGGTAGCGCTCCAGCCGGGCGAATTCTAGGACCGTGGCACTGGAGACGTGAGCCAGCCAGACGATCTTCTACGAGAGCATGTGGGACGTGGGGCTTATGGTCAGCGGCGCGGCGACCGCGTCAACGGCCCAGATCACGAAGCCAACTGAGTGCGTGTCTCGGTTAGAGTCGTGGGCGTAGAGCCACTCTCCGCAAACATCAAGCTCCGCGCACGTGGATCGAGTGCGAGTCTCCGCTGGTGGACCGTCAAAATCCTCGGCAGGAGCTGTGAGTTCACGAAGACCCGGGGGCTCATCGTCACGACCTCGAGGAGCGTGGCCCTGAGTGCCGTGCCCGTGTCCGGGGCCAGGGCCGATGAGGTGCGGCCTGTGGGGCGCGGCGCTCGTCACGCCGACTGTGAGGATCCCTGGCAGGAGCGGTCCCCTGATGGGGGGGCGTCGCCAGATGCAGCGCGTGCGGGTGCTCGTGATCGGGGGGGGGGGGGGGTAACGAACGGGGGACAGAGACGAGTGCGTGCGCCTTCCGCTCACCTCCCGGGCCCGCGGTGGCAGCTCAGGGGCCGCTCAGGGACCCTCCGGGGCCACCCGCTCTCCTGCACTCCTGGGGCACCCCCAGGCTCATTGCCCCCCCCCCCCCCCTCCTGTGAAGGAGACGCAAGACTCGGGTTCGGGGGACTCGGGGTGGCCTAACGGGGCCATCATAAAGATGACGAGACCCGGTCTGAAACTCGACGCGAGCTCCCGCTGCATCCATCCCACGAAAACTGGACCGTCAAACTCCAGGACGCGCTCTTCAAAAAGCGTCGGCGAACCCGAGTTCCGGCGTACTCGAGTCAGACGTTTCCCCGAACGTAGCCGTCCGCCCGAGGAGGCCGAAACAAGGGCGACACGCTGGGACTCCCATCCTCAGCCCGCCCGAAGTCCAGGTCCGGGCCTTGGGCCCGCGGTGGCAGCTCAGGGCTCCTTCGGGGCCTCTCTCCTGCAGCCCTCGGCCTCCCCCCCCGCGTTTTGCGTCGGCGGCCGGGCGGAGGGTGACTGCTCCGGCGATCAGGCAAGTAGCCCCTCCTCTGCCGTCCGCCCGACGTGAGCGGCACGAGGGCCGTGCGGCTCCCGGCTTGAGGCGCGGCGTTCCGCCGCGGGGAGCGCTCGGAGGCCGCGAAGGTCGGCGTCCCCCGAGCGTGAGACGTGCTGCCAGCAGCAGCATGTGCCGTGTCTGGGCTCTCCGTGGGGCGACGGAATTCACAGCACGCGGAACCTCGACAGCAATAGCAGCACTCGGGCACGCGCTTACATGGATTCGGGGTCCATGGATGTGGCGCGCGGGCGCCAGATCCACGACTCGGGGCGACGCATGAAGTCAGTGCCGCCTGATCTGGCGACGCAGCGCGCCGACTCCGCATTGAAACGGGACCCGTCTCAAATACACGGGCCCTGATACATGTCTGCGCTTCCTCGATCGCCAGCAAGCGCGAGAGTCCGTTCGTGGAGGTGCTAACCGATTCGCGGCTCGTTAACAACGGGGTCGCGGCGCTCCAAGCGGGGGCGTCCCCAGCAGAAGTGGCGCATGCGGAGATCTGGGAATTGCTGGCCCCGTACTGCCAGACTGGGGACCTCGAGCCGAGATGGATCGAAGGGCATCTCGACGCGGCCAGCGCCAGGGCGCAAGGCATGGCCGAGGAGGACCGCTTCGGCAACGCCGCCGCTGACCAGCTAGCGGGCGCAGCCGCGCGCGCGCGCGGCTCCCGCCGCCCCCCCAGCTCGCTGGGCGGGACAACCGACTGCGCGCCCTGGGCGTCGCGCAGCGGCTGCTGGCGGAGGTGGAGCTGGCAGCGCTGAAGGTCAACCGCAGCAGCGCCGGCGTGGCGTGCTCGGCGCGCAGCCGGGCGTGCCGCCGCAGGGCCCTGCGGCCGGAGCTACCGCAGCACCGGCGCCGCCAGGCGGCAACAGGGCCCGCCGCGTTGCTCTGCTCGCGGGGCAGGCCTGGCAGCTGCACGCCGCAGCGCAAGGTCCTGGATGGGTGGCCTGCGTGCGCTGCGGGGCGTCCGCGCCTACGTGGCCACGGCCGGCGGCGACGACGTGCGCGGGCTGGGCCGCCGCGTTGCCGCCGCGGGCGGCTGCCTTACTGCCGCTGCCGACGGTCCGGGCTGGTGGCCGCGAGGCCGACCGGCGCGCGGCGCTGCGAGCGCGCCAAGTGCAGCGCCTGGGTGCCCGTGTGCAGGCCGCGTGCCGCCCCGCCCCGCCCCCCCCCGTCCCCTCCCTGCGCCCCCCCCTCCTCGACGGCTGCTTTCTGCCGCTGGGCTTCTTCGATGGGTAAAAGAAAGTGGCGTCTGGCACGGGAGCCGCAAGAAGCACGAGGAGGGGCGCGAGAACCTGCCTCTGGAGCACGAGGACTCGCGGAGCGCGGAGATCCGCGCGCTAGACAGACATCGTCCCATGAAGTCTCGTGAGGACGGATGACCAGGAGGCCGAAAAACAGCTCGAGCGAGGTAGCTGAATTGCGCAGGGAAGGCGGAGGTCCGCGCGAGGGCCGCAGGGAGCGCGTGGCCGGCGCCGGGAAACCTGCACCCCAGAAGTGGTGACGTCTTACACTTTTCCTTCCTCTGTCGCTTGACCCCCGTCGGTCTTCCGCCGGCTTCTGCCGAAGGCGGAGGCGCGCCGACGGCGAGGCCCTCTCTGGACCACGCCGTGTGCCACGGCGGCCTCGGGCAGGCGACGTTTGAACTTCGGAGCCTGCAACCCCTTCCGCAATGCTCCGTTCATAACGCGGATCAGCAGGGTCAGGGGGGCGGGAGGGGGACAGAACGGAGGGAAGAGGGAGAGAGAACGAGGAGGGAGGAGGGAGGAGGAGCAGGAGGACGGGAGGCAGCAATGACGAGGGAGCAGGCATAACAAAGAGGGAGGGTAGGAGCAAGTGTATAAGGCAGCCACAGGAAACCACAGGAGCCTCCAGGGGAGCCCATCAGAAAGGGAGATGGGGAGGGGTGGATCCTCCTCCCCCTCGTGCTGTTCTTCCTCCGCCTCCTCCTCCGTTTCCCCGACTCCGCTCCGCCTTTTCCTCCTCCTCTTCATCGCTCCATACCGCTTTTCTTTGTTTCTCGAGGCGCAAGTCACACGCTGGACGGCCAACTGCCGATTGGAATTGTGAGTTTCCTCGCAGCAGCCGGCTCGGCCGTGAAGCAAGAAGTCGGCCTCCCTCCCTCGCTCTCTCCTTCTCTCTTCCTCCTCCTCCTCTCCCTCATTGTCTTCTTTTGTCTTTCCCCCCTCCTCCTCCTCCTCCTCCTCCTCCTCCTCCTCCTCCTCCTCCTCCTCCTCATCCTCCTTTGCTTTATATCTCTGTTCCTCCCTCTGTCACTCATCCCTCCCTCCCTCCCTCCTCCCTCCCCGCTCCCCCCGAGCGAGGCTCCTCGTCGGCCAGGAACGACAGGGCCCCTGCGGTCGCCGACCCCCCCGCGTCACCGCTCGCCAGCTGCAGCACGTGCTCGTCAAAGAGGCGGCGCATCTGTCTCTCGAGGCCCTACCAGAAGGGAGCGGCTTCGGCCGCTCTCGGCCGCTCTTCGTCGTCGTCGTCGTCGTCGTCGTCGTCGTCGTCGTCAACGACGTCGCCGTGCTCATCGTCGTACTCCTCTCCTTCTCTATCGTGCTCTGCCTGTGCCCTCGCTCTGCCACGCGCAGGCCCTGCTGGAGGTACGCGGTGCGGCGTAGGAGGGAGATCTCGGCGGGAGGACGAGGTGGGAGGAGGACATCGTCCTCCTCGTCCTCCCCTTCATCCTGCTTCCGCTCTGCCTGTCATTCCTGCGTGCGCACAGGGAGCGCACGCGTGGCCTACTCTCCGCTCGTGTAGATGATGATCGGTAAAACTGAATCTCGGTTACACCAGATCGGGAGCTTCGGTCGCAGACTGTGGCGAATCCAAAAACCAGATCGGCCCGCTCACGCACCCCCCCCTCCTCCTCGCGACGACGACGCCGACGATCGATCGGCCAAGGAGATCCCGGAGGTCTCCAGTCCCCACAGATTCCCGGGCCCCCCCGTGCACCACAAAACCTAAACAGGAACCCTCGATCCTCGATCTTCGACGCCGACGACGATGACGACGACGACGGCGACGACGACGACGACGACGACGACGACGGCGGCGGCGGCGGCGGCGGCGGCGGCGGTGGCAACGACCGTGGCGGCGGCGGCGTTCCATCTTGGCGCGGAGCGCGGACGCCTCCACGTCGGGGCCCGTTCGAAGCCCGTCCAAGGTCAATTCGCGCGGGGTCAATCTGGGGTCAGTCCGGGATCCCCCTGCCGGGTCAATCTGGGGTCAATTCCAGGTCAATCCTGGGTCAATCTGGTCCGTCCTGGGGTCAGTCTGGGGTCAATACGGGTCAATCTGGGGTCAACCCGGGGTCAATCAAGGGTCAATCCGGATCTATCCGAGACCAATCTTGGCCAGATGCCGTCCGGGGTCAGTCCGGGGTGAATCCGGAGTCGGTCTGGGTCAACCCAGACTCAGTCCAGGGTTCATCTGGGATCAGTCTGGGTCAGTCCAGGGATCAGGCGGGATATAGGTCCAGGGACCACCGTCCCCCAAATGCAGGCATGGTACTCTGGCAGCGGCAAGCGGCAGAAGCAGCAGCAGCAGCAACGGCCATAGCAACATAATATCTGGAGCGCTCTGGGAACATCTCTACTTCATGCTGAGGCCCTGGCTCGGTAAAATTAAACTTGGTCGAATTAGGTCTCGGCTGAATTTGGTCGGTATCTGATATCTAAGTTAAATGATTGGAATGTGGTCTGCTAGGTGCGGTGGAAGCGAGAAGTGCTAAAGGCGAAGGACACCGAATGCACAATTCATTCAACATCCTTTTCACTGTGGCCACGCACGTGCCTCCTGCGAGCTCTGACGCCGCTCTACATAAAGTGCGCGCTGGCAGCAGGAGGCGCCCGTGTAGTACACACCAGAGGAGTTTATCGCGGCCTACAGGCGCGAGGGAACGCTCTGGCCCATAACAACCATCCCCACACCGTCATCTGTACAAGAGGACCTCCAACAAGGCCTGAAGAAACCCAGTTCCCAGCGGGTTTTTGAATGATGTTCGCAATCTTGCCTTTTCGGGCTTCCGTCAGCTCAAGATGGCCCAAGAAGCCTCCACGATGGCCCCAAGACGGCCCAAGAGGCCCCCCAAAGGGTTCCAAGATGGCCCAAGAGGTCCCAATATGGCTCAAGAGGCACCCACGACGGCCCCCAAACTGCCCAAGAGACGCCGCTCGACGGTCAACGGCCCACACGACGGCCCCCAAACACCCACCGTTCGGCAAGGTCGCCCCAAGACGGCCCAAGAACCCCAAGAAGGTGTAAGTGGGACCCAAGACGGCCCAAGAGGGCCTCAAGGGACCCCGAAGACTGCCTCGAGACTGCCCAAGCGAGTTCCACGGAGCTCCTCAAATAGTGAAGGCGGAAGGTGCCTCAAGCGACGGTATTTCTTTTCCTCCTCCTTGTTGTCCACCTCCTCGTCCTCCTCGTCCTCTTCCTCCCCCTTCATCATCATCATCATCATCATCATCATCATCATCATCATCATCATCATCATTATCATCCTCATCAAGATCGTCATCATCATCCTCATCCTCACCCTCACACTCATCATCATCACTATCACCACCACCATCATCATCACTGTCAGTACCAGTATCATCATAATCATAATCATCATCATCATCATCATCATCATCATCATCATCATCGCCGTCTTCACCATCATCACCATCATCACCATCATCACCATCATCATCACATACACCATCATCACCACCATCATCATGATCATGGTCATGATCAACATCATCAGCATCATCACCATCATCGTCGTCATCATGATCATCCTCATCCTCATCCTCCTAACCATCAGTACCAACACAATCGTCATCGTCATACGCACCATTGCCATGAACAACCTCATCACATTCTCATCAAAACCGCAAGCATTAGCGTCATTATTATCAACACCACCATCATCGTCCTCATCATCATCACTAACATCATCATTATCATCGTCATCGCCACCAATGTCATCATACGCATCATCATCACCATCAGCATTATCATCATCATCATCATCATCATCATCACCCCCGTAGTCGTCATCACCATTCTCATCATTCTCATCATCGTCATCATCATCAGCGTCAGCATCAGCAACATCAGCAACATCATTATCATCATTATCATCATCCCCGTAGTCGTCATCACCATCATCAGCATCATCATCATCATTCTCATCATCGTCATCATCATCAGCGTCAGCAACATCATTATCATCAGCGGCATCATCATCATCATCATCATCACCATCATCATTATCATCGTCGGAATCACCATCGTCATCGTCATCGTCATCGTCGTCATCATCATCATCAGCAACATGACCATCATCATCATCACCATCATCATCATCATCATCACCATCACATCATCATCGTCATCATCATCATCATCATCATCGACATTACCATCATTATCCTCATCACCATCACCATTACCATCATCATCGCCGTTATCAAAATCATCATCTGCATCCTCATCATGGCTCTCCCAACCCTGGAGACACGAAGTGTCACACGTGACAACGTGACGGCCTCCCGTGCTGCCTCGGGCAATCGCCACCCAGAGCGCTGGGCTGGCACGGATGCGGAACTTGCCGCAGGCGGCTGGATGTTTCGATGTGTGGCAACTTGGTGAAATCACAAACGCCGCGGCCGTGCCATTGCGCAGACAGAACGTGCGCGTTGTCGCCATGGAGCCCCATGCGCAGATGTCTGCGGCCACTAATTTTAGAGGTGGTGCTGTACTTTGAGAAGCCACGGCTGGTACTTCTTTAACTTCGGGCTCCGACGCGGTGTTCCAACGCGCGAAGAGGCTCCCTCTGGTCGGTACATATCAAATATGCCGATGGAGACATCGTGCATACGGTCTGCTATGGTTACCTCGCGGGAATCCTTGTCCGAAAATCTGCAGGCCCCTGAGGTGCTGCTTGGGCCCCACTGGCGTGAGCAAGCAGCGTAGCCAGGATAATCAAGTGCGTGGTGGCGCTGGCCACGCTGCTGGATTAGGCCCCGCCTTGCCCAGCCACACTCGCGGCTGACCAGACCAGGGGTCAGCTCGCCATGCGAACTATCCACGACGTCGTGCCGCGGAAGCCCAGCACGCCGCCACGCCTTCGAGAAGCTGCCTGAGCCTGCAAGAAAATCTCGAGGGCCACCTGGTGGCCCTGGCGATGATCGTCCTGAGGCCACCAAGGATCGCTCGAGCTCGGGCGGGGCGCTGGCTCACTTCGTTGCGCTCGTGGCAGCCGGGCTGGCTGCCTGCCGGCCTCTGGACGCGCGCGACGAGCAGGTCGGCCGCCGCCAGCAAGCCTCGGAACACGCAGAGGACCTGGCTGCCGGCCTCTGGACGGGGCCGCCCGCTCGATGGCGGGCTGTGCAGCGGGCCCTGCATGGGCCCCTTGCGGCCACTCCCTGGGCGGCACAGGCCAATCCTGCGCGTGCGCGTGCGGAAGGCGGCGGCGCAGCAGCGCGGCCAGTCCGCGGCGGGCCCCGTGCCGGCGATGGCACCCATGGCGGCCAGTCGAGGTGCACCCAGCGCTCATGAGTCACCTCACTTCGCGCGTCGCGCATCGCGACGCGCGGTTGTCTCCCCGCCCTCGCGAGGCCCCCTTGAGAAGGCCAGCTCACAGGCCCCGGGCTGCGACGCGCGAAGCGCGCGAATATCTTCGCATCGCCTGGGGGGAGCTCGTGGGCCTCGTGGGCCCCGCGCCCGAGCCTGGGCGGCCGCTCCTGTAGGTCCGCGCCGGGGCCCCCCTGTGCAGGCGCCGTCTGGAGGTCTGGAGGTTCACGAGTCACGAGTCACGACCGGAAGCCCAGGCCCAGCAAGCTCAGCTTAGGCTGTGCGGGGCCAGTTCCTCGCCAGGGGGTGGGGCGCCTCGCTCCGCATGGACGTGCGCTCTTCCGACGGCGTGCGGGCGGCGAGGCTGCCCGCCGAGCTCGGTGTGACACCGCAATGGTCCGTCTCGGGCTGGGAGGGGCCGCTGCCGAATCGGAGGTCGAGGAAGAGGAGGACGACCTAGAAGGGGCGTGTGGTGCAGGCCAACCACGCCGCTGGCGGTCCCGACAGCGTACCTGGCCGCCATGCCTGTGCCGCGGAGCACGGCCGTGCTGATAGGCTCGCGCTTGGGGTGGTGCTTCGCCATCCGCCAGAGCTGCCAAGCGGCGGCGACAGTGAGCAAACCCTCGGCATTTGGGAGAAGCCCTCGCCTGCGCTCGAGGGTCCGTGTGGGGGGTCCTGGTGGGGGCCGCTTCTGGAGGCCTTCGCGGGGTGTGCCGTCGAGCTTCCGGGGGTCCGCCATCGCGTCCTCGAGAGCATGCGAGGGGACGCTGTGATGGGTGGTGTGATGCGGGAAGCTCTTGCTGGCCTCCACCATGTGGTCGTGTCCACAGCGCCTTTTCCCGGCTGCCGTTGTCGCGGGCCTCGGCCTGGTCCGCGAAGTGGGGGAGCCGCTGGCCCGCCCGACCGAGCACGCCGACGACGGGCCGCCGTGAGATCAGCGTCCTGGTCGCCGTTCCACACGAAGGCAGCAGCTCCCTGGGTGACGATGGACTGGAACTCGGGGCCGACCCAGCCGTTCCAGTCTTGGAGCGTGCACGTGGTGGGAGGGGCCTTCCATGATTCCAGAGAGTGCGGGTACTTATGCTGCATACCTTCCAGGGTATCAGCAGAATTTGGGTCACGCAAGGCTCGGATTCGGCGAAGGTGTCGGCAAGCGAACGTGCGATCGCGCGGGCCCCCTCCTGCCACTTCAGGCTGGGTGTCGCCAAGTTGACCGCTGCCGTGGCTCCATGCCCGACAACGAGCTGGGGTAAATCGCGGCGTCGGTAATCTTGAACTGTGCCCCGTACGACTTGACTTGCTGGAGCTCCACCTTCCTCCTCGTCCCACCTCCTCCTGGTCATCGTCGTCCTCTCCCTCTTCATCGTTTTTGCCCGTCCTGATTCTCGTCCTCCTCGTCCTTCTCATCCGCTCTTGACCCCGCCCCCCAGACGGCCAGCCTTCTCCAATGGGAAACGCACGATCGACATCCGCACGAGCGCCTCCAGGAAGTGCCTGCCAACGTGAGTGGAGTGGGGGTTCGGCGATGCACGTGTGCATTTCAGAGGCTATAGGAAGTCTCGGGGAATCTGGCGAACTTCACGGGGGTGGAGCAGGAGGCGTCGGAGGACTCGGAGTCGGAGTCGGGGTCGGACGAGGAAGAGGAGGACAACGACCCGGACGAACACGAGAGCCTCCCCCCCTCCCCCTCCTCCTCCTTCTCGGACTCCTCCCTGTTCCCGCTCCTCGTCCTCCGCCGCCGCCCCGAGGAGGCAGACAAGCAGGCAGGCTCTCCTACTGCTCCTTTTATCCCCGTCTGCCTCCCGCCCTCCCTTCCCCTCCCTCTCCACTCCGTCCACGAAGTGCAGGAGGAGGCTGGTGGAGGAGCAGGAGGAGGGAGAAGGGCAAGGAGGAACACGAGAAGGGACTCTGACAAGGCGGAGGGGGGAGGCAACATCTCCTCCTCCCCTTTCTCCTCCTCCTCCTCCTCCTCCTCCTCCACCTCCTCCTCCTCCTCCTCCTCCTCCTCCTCCTCCTCCTCCTACAAGGCTACCAGTGGTGGGCCGCCGAGCCAGAGGCTGCACGAGGCCGCGCGGCGGTGCTGCGGAGCGACCGCGGCTCGGCCAGTCTCTTGGCCAATCTGGTGGGCTTGTGGGGTGAGGGCCCCAGAAGGCCCCGACTGGCCCCCTCAGCACTGTAGAGACAGGGTTCTCCGTAGCCTCTCGGATCAGGCCTGAGCCCGACGAGGGGTGGCGGCTCCGCCAGACCTGCACGTCCAGCGCTTGCGGCGGCGGTCCGCCTCGGAGGACTGCAAGCGAGAAGGCCCTGCAGGGGGCGAGCTGCGGGTGTGGAGGACATGGCCCAGGCCACCGAAGCGCGCACGCTGGGCCCAGGGTGGCGGGCAGGGGAGAAAAGACAGGGAAGGGGAAGGAGGAAACGACGAGATGGGAGCTCCTCCTTCTGGTCGTCGCCGTCGTTGTCAGCGTTCTCCTCCTCCTCCTCCTCCTCTTCCTCCCTCCTCCTCATCCTTCTCCTCCTCCTCCTCCTCCTCCTCCTCCTCCTCTTCCTCCTCCTCCTCCTCCTCCGCCTCCGCCTCCGCCTCCGCCTCCTCCTCCATTCCGCTTCCATGTGAATAACTCCTCCATGTCGCACCCCCCAGACGTGTTGGTAGGGCGTACCGGGCGTTTCGCCTGAGACTTCCGCCCTTTTATGATCCTGGAACTTGAAATTCGTAGCAGTCTCACGGATGGAGGGCGGTCCGTTTTCAAAATGTGGCTCTCGCCTGATCGCCGCGTACATTCGCTTTGAATCTTTGCCGATGTTTCAAGGATGGAGAGCGCCCGTTCTCAAAATGTGGCCCTCGCCTGATCGCCGCGAACATTCGCCTTTAAGGATTGCAACAAGTTCGCGGGCGTACGGTGAGCTGTTTTCGAAATGTGGCTCTCGCCTTCGCGCAGCGCACATTCGCCATACAAGTTTGCAACATGTTGAAGGAGGACGGTTGGTTCGTTGTCAAAAACCAATGAGGGGAACACTTCCTAGTGCATGGGCGCAATGCTGGGCACTACTTGATATTGCTTCGGGTTGCTTGGCATTGCTTGGAACGGGCACAGAAAGAATACGAGGCACCGGGGGTGGGGAAACCCGAAGAACCCGAGAAGCCCAAGGAGCCCGGGGAACCCGAAGAACCCGCGGAACCTGGGGAACCCGGAGAACCCGAGTAACCCAGGAAATCCGCCGCCCCCTTTTGATTTATCAAACGGGTGCCTGGCGTGCCGAATTATATGGCTTTTGGTTCTTTTTCCAAAAGAGCTCCCCCTGGGGCTTCGGCCCGTCCCGCCGGCCACCCAGAAAACCCGTCTGTCGTCGCCAAAAAAGCCCGTTTCGCTCGGGACAGCCTCAACAAATCGCGAAGATGGCCCAAGATGGCCTTCAAGTCCGCCCAAGATGGTCCAAGACGGCCTCCTAGACGGCCCAAGAGAGTCCAAGACGGCCCAAGACGGCCCAAGAGGCCCCCCCGAGGCCTCCAAGACGGCCCAAGAGGCCTCCAAGAGGTCCTCCAGGAGGGCCCGAAGATGCCAAAATCATTGATTCTCCTTAGGTTTCTGAAGGATTTTGGAATTTGCTTCTTCTCGGCATTCCGACGGCTCAAGACGGCCCAAGAGGCCCCCAAGATCGCCTTCCAAGCATTCGCGCTTAGCGCCGCGCGCATTTGTAATGATTGCGTGCACCAGGACTTGTGTTCTGGCAAGGTTTCGAATTGTCAGGACGCAGCTGTCACGTTGATTCGCGGAGTTGAAGACCCAAAAATTGTGTTCCAGCGCGCATTAGGATTGTCAAGGCGCAACAGTCACGTTGATCCGCGACGCTGAAATCCCAGGAATGGCGCTGTGGCACGGTTGGCGATTTTCATGCGGTTGTCTTCCACTGACAGAATGAAAACTCTTGTAGGGCTTTATGAAGAGAGAATTGGAGGGAGGGTTTAATTCGATATCGTCGATGCGTCTTGGATTTGCACTGGCCTCTCGTCCTTCTGCTCTTCCTTCGTCTTCGCCTCCCTCCTCCTATCCTGCTTCCTTCTCATTCCCCTTCTCTTCCTGCTTCCCTCACACCCCCACTCCCTCCCCTCCTTCGCCTTCTCATCCTCCTCCTCTTTCAGTCTCCTCGTAGGTGAAATAAAAGAGGCAGGCGGAGGAGAAAGGAGGACGCGGAGGAGAAAACGGAGATGGCGCCACCCCGGAGAAGGACGCAACAGCAAGGCGCAGGGCCGCACGGGTCCACGGGAACCCGGAAGAGGACTTCGCCGTAGGACAGGCCGAGAGGGACTTCTCGTGGACGCGGCGCGCACTCTGGGGGGAGGCGTGATGCCGTGGTAACGATGCGGCAAGCAATGGGTGGGCAAGGGTGGATCCACGACAGGAGGGGCCAATGAGGGCGGCTGGACCCTCACGCTGGCCGTCAGAGCCTCAGGCGCAGTCGGGCACACCGATGTCGGCACGCCGGTGGAGATTTGCCCACAAGAGTCCAGGCGCTTGGAGACCGTGGTGGCAACTTGCGCAGCAGCCGCCAGTGGGGCCAGGCTGGTGTCCTCGAGCGCTCCTACAAAACGCCGAAGCTGCGGATTGAGCCAACGCGGAGAACTACGAGACAGGCCTGGGAGGATCCTCCGAGGACGAACTATATTCCGCCGCCTCAATCGCACTGATCCGTGGAGCGCGGGCGGGCGACGATGAACACGTTGCTTCCACGCTGCAGGCTATCGCACGCGGGAGTATGGCACAATGCGATGTGACACGTCGTCCAGAGCTGAAGAGCGAGGCAAGCCAGCGTGCCACAATATGGCCTTCGCCGTGGTGGTCCGCGCCACGCGTGAACCTGATGGGCCACAACGGGCTCAACCGAAGAATTCCGATAGGTGTTTCTGTTTGGACCTTTCGGATGGCTGCCCTGTCAAGTTAGGACTAAAACTCCCGGGCCCTTCCGCCTGCTACGACTACCCGCAATTCCCGGGTTCTTCCGACAATCATCAGAACGTGTGCTAGCGCCGAACGTGTAGCTGTCCACCGAAGCCGTTCCATACGACGCAGGCGGTGTAAGAAGGGGCCAGCACAAGCTGCGCGCCATCGGCGGAACCGAACGAGGCAAACTCATACTGGGCTAACAGCCAACACACGTTCTGAGGATCAGCGCCTCTCCTCGCGCCCGATCGTGCGCTGTGGTCCGGGCCGCGGCCACGGGGCGCGGACGCCTCGGCGGGGGAGTGGCGCCAACGTTGGCGCAGATGGCCCAGCCTGCAACACAAAGGAACCTCACGTGAGGAGCACCGCTCGGGGGGAGTATCGGGCGGCTGCTCCAGCCACATGTCTGCGAGGACCAGCCGCTCGGCGAGAGGCTTCCACGGCTGCGCTCGTCAACTGGCTGCCCTCTGCATGCTGCGTTGAGGGCCAACGATCGGGGGGACCAGCTTAGGAGGGGAACATCGACCTGGAATCGGCGATACATCGCCGATCAATCGGCAACAAGCTCCTGATAGCGGATCCGCACGCTCTCTCCGGGTGGGGTGGGCTATCGGGCTCTGATCGGCGTTCAGTGGGCGACTGGGGGTCGATGCATTCCCCTTCTGAGCCGCGTACCCCCCTAACGTTGCCCCCGACCCACGAACAGTGATTCAACTCGGGGTTTCTTGCTTGGCCTCTGATGGGCTGACGATACAGCAGTGGCCGGCGACGACACAGTAGCGACACACGATAAGCTATGTTACTATAAGAAATCTTGGGGCACATTCTTCGTCGATTTTTGAGGGCCCTCAGGTGGCCCAGAGCCTCTGTGGGTCCCTGGGGCCATCGGGCGATAAGAATTTTCCATGGGGAACCTGCTGGCAGGCAAATTTCTGATGTGGTGCGCATGCTGTGTCGTCCCACGATATAGGGTACCGATGTGGTCCTAAAAACTGGGGGGCCACACGATAGGGTCCGACATGGCATGACCTCACAAATCACATCGCATAGTCGGAACCTCATAGTATGAGCAGGGGGCGACCGTCTTGGAATTCTAATCGGACTACAAAGACATGTTCCTAGAACGAGAGCTTGTTCGAACAACAAAGCAATGTTCTCATAACATGTACGACAATGTAGGTCCCAAACAGTGTGTTTCTAGGAGCCGACGTTATCTATTCATTTCGACCCTCCAAAGTCTGCGTTGCTACTGACCAGCCGAGGAGCTCGAACAAACTAAGACTAATATGCGGCAATCCTATGTTCCTGGCATGTAAGCCCAACGCAGATTCAATCCTTCTGCGCGCACTGGAATGCCCAAGAGCCCCTGGAGACTCGCGGTCCCACCCGCACACAGATGGGACCAAGAAGAGTATGGAAAGACTGGCCGCTCGAATCCCTCTGTGCTTCAGCCCGCAAAGCGTCGGGTGCTGCCGTGCACTCCTTGAAGCCCTAGAGCATCACCGCATGGGGCGGCATGGCCAACCTGACCGCCCACGCGAAAGACCCCACCTGGGA